CGAGGCAAAAGTCACTTTGCATATCTAAAGGTGTTTCTCATGCGACCTCAAAAGTTAGAAATGCTACAATCCTAAATTACAGCAATGAAAAATGATTCTGATTAAAATTTTGACCTCCTATAGAAGTATAAACATGTTCTACCCATTTCAACCATTGTAGAAAGAAACATATCATATTTCAAAACTTTACTTAACACTATTTTCCTTTAAAAAATCATTGTTCACAGCTAGCTCAGTTAAAAAGTAAGCCAAAAAATGTGTCAGGTTCTACTGAAAGAATAACTTATTATATTTTTATCTTCAACCTTCAAATTACCAATTTATTTTATTCCGTTTGCTTCCAATGTAGTCCACATATTACATTATGTTAAGTCATTTTATGATTTTTTGCCTGTTACAACACTCATTGTAAAAAACTGATCAAACAAATTAATAAACTCACTCATCTTCTCTGCAAGATATATAGATGACAAAAGGAGTAATTACAAAATTGAATATACATATATATTTTTTACATATTCTGTATGTGACTTGCAAGCTATTAAAGCCATGGAAATGCAAGCAATCTGCTGCTAAATAGTTTCAAAAAAATGCATTTCAAAAGATAATTAGGTCTATACAGATTTAACAGTAAATCTAGGGTTAAATAGCTACCTTCTGTTATTGCCATTACTTGATTTTTTAAGTTGAGGCACTAAATACCAGATATTTGTTTCTAAAATTGTAATAACACGCATATCATGATTTGAGTTATAAAATGTTTACAAAAGTCATTTCGTCTGTATATAAGTATATGAGGAATCTGCAGACACTGAGCATAATGTTAAATCTCTTCTGTCAAGTTGTGAAAAGTTCATATACTGGATAAAGTTTTAGTGCATACAAATTACTTGTGTTATCTATATCAATTTAGAGCTTTTGTCATTCTTGACTGAACACGGATAATTTATGTAAATATTTCTCAACAAAGTACCTGAAGGTTTGCAAGTACGGGTCATTCATGGTTAATTGTCATCACCTGCTTTAGTGTCAACTCTGAAATGAAAAAATCATAATTTAATGCATCAATGATTATCCAGACATTCAAAAATGATATGAAGGTACTGAAGTAAAACAGATTATATAACGAACAATGAAAGTAGTGAGAGAAGTACAGAACACTTTATAAAAATATGAAACTTAGTACACCAAAGATTCCACTGTTAAATACTATAGTGTGAAATTTGGAAAACATGTACAAGAGAAAAACAAAATTACAGCAGAGTGCAATATTCATTAAAGGAATTACGGGACAATACAATGAAAATGTTCTAATTAAGTATGTAATAAGTATTAAAAAAAAAAACTACATTTATTAATAAATAATAACATACAGTCAATATAAAAGAAAATATTATATTCAACACAAAATTCACACTCATCATGAGACAGCATGCCATACAATTTTGAAGAGCAGCCAAGTTGTTGAATGGTCATTTTCAAGAGTTCTGTTACAACCTTCAGTAGGTACATGTACAAATGTTAAATTATATGATCTCATGGTCTAATTGTTAGAATATTTATTTGTGGTTCACTATGTTATAAGTGCAGTGCGATTTGTTACCTAATACAATTCAAAATTAGTATTTGATATGGTTTTATGATCAAAAGTGAATCAATACACTATATATTCGAACTGAAAATAAATGCCTATGTTTCTATCATTGATTCTTAAAGATTTCAGTATCACAAACTGGTAAATTGACACATTTTCTTTTCTACCACCAGTTTGATTAAAACATTTCAGTTTACTATCCATGGACTAAAGATTTGCTTGTTTTTTTTGCACTAATTTTGCAAAGTAGAAATCATGTAACTGTAAATGTTATATATCATTGTAATATAAATCTAATATGGGAAAAACTATAATGAAAACTATAATCTATATAAATCACCTTTTGTTAACAGGAATCTCTACTCAAACTCTTACATAAAACTTGGATTTTTTTATCAAATTTATTACTGTTTTATTATTAATTTTGTTAGTTTCAGATTAAGTAATCATTCATTGTGATCAACTCTCATTTTTTTTTTATTCTATACTATATATATATACACTAATCCAAATCTAAAAACAATTCCCACACAAAAAACCCACATACCACAGTTTAATTATATAAAAAATTACTATTCTGCATTCTAAAATAAAATACATATTTTTGTACACTTTTCATTCACTTGAGCTAAACATTGAGCTTAAGAAGGCAAAAAATATATATTAAAAAAAGGTTTATCAATATGAGCCCTACTACTGTATACTTCTAGTAACATGAAATTGAAAGTATTTTCATATTTTAACTTTAAAGTTAAAGGATAGCCCTACTAGTACTAATAGTAATAGGTCTCAGAATAATAGTGGAAAGTCACCTGCCCTAGTACTAGTACAACTAGTTTAACTTCAAGGACTAAATTCTACTTAAGATCCCTCTTAAATACGACTGTATTAGTACATGTGGTGCTTTTAATTTTATGCATCAGTTTATATAATATTAAATAATTAATATAAATCATAATGGAACGAGCTTCACAATATTATATTTAAATTTTTAATCTCATAGTTCTGTGTATTACGCCAACGTCAAAGTGTATAAATACATAACTTAGTACTTGTCTTTATAATCATATGCAAATAATAAGACGCAGCACTCTTTATTCACATATAATATTTCAGTTTTACCTTTTCACTTTTTAAGAACTAAATACAATACAAAATTAACCTACAACTACAAGCGAGATTAAACTTTTTAAACTAACGACACTTAACAATAATTATTTTAAAGTTTTATATAAAATTTAAAGTTAAATAAACAGAAACATTACAGATATTTTATTTGATTAAGTCAATGACAAAACTCTAGACTAAAAATTATTCATGGACGTTCAGATAATTCGTTGTTTACTTGTTTTCCCCTCTTAAACATAGAACGAAACTTTTATAAACTACATTTTACCATCTGGTGGCAAATGTTGTACCTAATTTAAAAGTTTTATTTGAAAGCATTATTGGGTTGCATTCGACCATCAGAAACAAATTAAGTTAAAATGTATTTAAAAATAGTGAAGTATCATGCTTGTATCAAATAACAATATTAAATAGCTATATATTTCATTTTAAGGTATAGTTTTTTTCTATCTAATTGTACTTATGTTTGAAGCGACTTTAAAAGTTACATTTACAAATAATGGTGTGTTAATTCACATCTGACTAATTGTTTAAACGCTACTCAGGAAAGAGGATACATAGTCAGGTATTAATTGTTTTCATATCACTTTCTGTTTCATTTAAAAGAACAATAACTACTACCATATCACCAGTTTTAATCTTTTGTCTTTTTTGCACCTTTTTGTTTTAACGCAAAGCCACATTTTGCTCTGTTCATCACGGCGATTCAAGCCCCGGATTTCCGCGTTTTAAGTCTGTAAACTTACCACTGTTCCACCGGAGAAACTTTTACGTTTGTAAAAAATTCAAGTTGGTTTTCAATTTACATGTGGAAATTTTCAGTTACACTGATTTCCTCCAGAGTAGATTGGTAGGGCCCAAAAAATACAAGATACAACTAATATAGAATACGGACAACTGGTTTGTTTCTCCTGACCCTCTTCAAAAGTTCAATATAAAGAAAGAGGCGGTACAAAAATATACAAACCATAATCTTTATTCAAACTCATACAGAATTTGGAGTGCGTATGTGTGGAAATAGAGGAAGAGAGTTCTCTCTCATTCAATAACTATCATTTCAATATCCCCTCCTTATCGAAAGGTGAAAAATGAATTTTAAATTAAATGTAAAAAAAATCCTGAAATTTAAGGTTAAGCAAAAATACAGAAACTTCTAAGTCACAAAACAAAAGTATGATGCTACAAACGCGTCTTTACCCGATTTGCTGATAAAAAGAAAAAAACAAACAGTTGTCTGTGTTGGAACATCACGAGTGAAGTTACTGTTATTTTTCCTACAAGAAAATACGTTTAATGACCAATAAGGATGATCTTGACTCCATGCACGATAAAGTAAGGAAACTTACGGTGTTTTCTTGATTGAAATTTCGAGGGTAGCAAACAAATGGTACTGTCCTGTACCATATTTCTCCCCTCTTCTATTATTTTTCTGGCTGACCCTTGTTTAAAGCTAATTAAATAAAATATATTCATGGATCGATCAAGAAATTGAAATACTCATCCTCAACACAGTAAAAACAATTGCCCACTAATACAAACATGTATAACAGAAAAACAGCTTTACAAAACAACAAAATGAAAACAAACAAAAATTTAACACAGATTATTTACACCCACTAGGAGAGGATATCTAACATTACCACCATCCAAGACAACATAATAATAATTTAACATATTCTTCAGTAAATAATTATTGGATAGTATGAAAAATATGAGCAACAGTTCGGAGGCTGGATTACTGCTCAAATATTACTGTGGTATTCAGTTACACTGCTTAATATCCTTCAGGTAATTATAAGTGTTTGTAAAATGAAGAGTATGGAAATGTTATATTGAAAAGTATTTCGAACACCACACTAAAGAAAAAAACAAGTAAACATATGTGAAAGAAGAAAACAAAAAAACTTTATCCATACAATAATGTTGCTTAAGTCTTAAACTACTGGCTGGCTTTTATCTCGTTTCATGACTGAAAGTGGTTGTTACAATGAAGAGGCTACTAAAAATATCAAGACAAAAGAAGAACTAAAACCCAAGAATAATGGAATACCACAATTTCAAGTCAGACCAGAGTCTTAGTACAGTATCCCACAATCCTTAAATTACCTGTATTAACGGTCATGCCAAATAAATATATACAAGAGAGATTTTATAGATTTCCAACTCATCCTAATTTGTACAAGTATCTGTACCATACTTTGAACTAAATGATCTAACTTTAGAAAACTAAACAGAAACCTGGTTAAGTACTTAAATTTCTATACAATAATCATTGTAACATGTAACCTTATCTAAGATAGAGGATTTCTTTGTAATTAAGCACAAAGTTACACAATGGGCTATCTGTGCTCTGCCCACCACGGGTATCGAAACCCGGATTCTAGCGTTGGAAGTCCACAGACATACCGCTGTGCCACTGGGGGGCAAGATAGAGGATAAGTACACGTTTATGATCCTCGTAAATCCCGCTTACAAGGATGATGCGATCTGCAATATAGAACACGAACACAAGTTAAGGAAAATTGTCTGAATATTCCCGCATAAAGACGTATTCCATGCTAGTTATAGGTAGGGTAAAATGTAATAGTTATTTGATATCATTACACTGTTACTGTCCTAGCGCAACAATTATACAATATAACCTTACCTTCTTTAAAGATAAGTAATGTAGTGACAACATAGAGAATGTGATTAAACCTTGTTGGAATCGTAATTGTTTGATTTAGAAAATTTCATTCTAATACTTTCTTTTTAAAGAACAAATTATAATAATTTTATCAATAACTCTAGGAGTTGCTTATTAATTATAAAATAATCAAAATGAAATACTTCTATGTAACCACTGATATTAAAGTGAGACTTAATTTAAAATTTACCGATGTTCCGATACGTTGCACAATTTATTGTGTAATAGAAAAGAAAAACTAAAAAGTGGTTAGAAATTATAAAAATCGTAACAAGAAAATCAATAATATAGCCAGAAACTTTGCTAGATATTCGAAGCAGCAAGATAGAAAAAATAAAGTTCGTAAACTTACATTTAGCCACCTGAATCTTATTTATACAAGTATTTCATAAGTCTGTAGAGGACTGTGAGTAGCATAAGTTACTATATTCAACAGAATATACTGAATGCTGTTCAAGAAGTTATAAAATGGATGCACAATAAGTTTTAGTTTTAAAAACTAAACTTAAAAGCCCAAAACTTAAGTACAAGTATAATTTTTTTTTAAAGTCCAAATTAACAGACATGCCATCGAAATGTCTAATCTACCAACTTATAAATTATGTTGTGAAAATGAGTAGGTTTATAGAAGATTGTGAAAGGCCTTTGCAAACACATCAGAACTTTCATAATCCAACATATGTTCAGTCCTGGTGACAACCATATACACCTGGTTACCATTTCAAATAAGTGTGGTAAAAATTTCCTCATCAGCTACGAGTGAGAAATATATAAATCATCACAGGAGAATTAGTTGACAAGACTGGCAACATAGTCTAAATACAGTAGCACACTAGTGTATTGGGAAATAACAACTTAACCTTTAGTCATGCGATGAATGCTAGAATAAAGTAAATATTTATAAACTTCTAACATCACAATGAGACCAGAATAACTCGGACCAGCGTTTCTTAAACTAGGGTCCGCGAATTATGTTCGAAATATAATAAAATGTTTAAAAAAATGATTTTTAGAATAACAAATATTTTTCGTAAAATTAGAGGAAAGAATTCCATATGGCACCCCCACCCAAAAATTGTAGAATTGCCTGGATAAAAAAGATTCTGAAAAGGGTTTATTTTAAGGGGCGTATTAGAAAAATTGGGGCATGGCTTTTTGGGGTTTACCAAAAAAAAAAATGAAAAAAATGTTCCCTTTATTCAAGACATTTCTAAAGTTTATCCCCAAGAAGATTGTTCATCTAATTAATGAAGTAAGTGGTATAATAATGTATTAAAATTATCAGATCATACTATTAATATGATTTATTAATACATAAATATTACTTTGATGATTTTTTTTTAAACTGAGTGGGGTGCCATATGGAACTCTTACCAAATTAGATTTATATGGAATATTTTATTTAAAATAAAACTCTCGATAGATTTGAGGGGGGGGGGGGTCTGCAAAAATGTTTTTAATTAAAAGAGGTCTTCTGGTTATTAAAGTTTGAGAACCGCTGACTTAACAATGATTGCTGAATTGTCAGATAGAAAGTGGACGTTGAATTTAACTTTCAACAACCAAGCACGCTGACCAATCACAATTAGAATAGTCCTGAAAAGCAACTGTCATAAGTTTTGTGGAAGATTCCTTCAGATTTTCTTAGTTACATTAAGAGGCATCCAAAAACTAGAAAGAACCAGTTTAATCCATCAAAAACTGTGATTGAATTGTGAAAACCAGAGTATAAAAACTGTGTCTAAAACAAGATAGTTAGCAAAGTTAGCAGTGAGGAAGAGTTAGAAATTAAAAAAACTACAGTGGATCAAACTTCAGTTCTCTCATTAGTATTCTCTTGTACACGGATAAACAAACATTAAAAAAAGAACTTGAGTTGATAAAATGAATAATGAAAGTTATTAATACGAGATTTGTGAGAGAATTCTTAAGAAAGGTAATTATTTAATTATATTTTGAATTATTTCCAAGAATTATGTTTCCATGTTTTGTATTGTTTCTTTTAGAAATGTAAATAAACCGTTGTTTTGTAAACTTTCATCTGTCTCCTTGATTCTCACGTAAACTTCTTCCAGTCTATGTAATTGATTGCATATTCTTTGTATCTTTAAATAAACACCATTTCTAATTGGTTTGTTTTAGAACAGTAATGCCCTTTAGAGTCCTACAAAAACATTTCCCATTTAAATTATATCAAACACTGCTGAAAACAGTCTGGAACCTGTATACCTTAGCTATTAGATCAAATTAGTATAATTAAACTTAACACTATTTCTGATGAAAAGAAAATAAGATGTAAAGTTAACCTTCAGTTTATAAGACCAATACAGTATTAATCAAAAACTCAAATGCTGGATATTATATTTCTTCTTAATTATGTATTGGGAATAGAAACATGAACTACATACAAGATTCTTCTCTGATCTTACAAAAAGTGATTAAGTTTATTATGTTGAAACACAAATCCCGACCAAATAATTATGTATATCAACTTTATAATTAAACTCATACCACAAACACGAGAAAACCCAGAAATTTATAATTCTATTAAAGCATGAATTATAAATAGAGTTATTCAATGTACTCAGCCTTCTGTATCATTTCTTATTACACTTTTTTAACAGAGTCTATTTTAGCCTACTACACGCGTTAGGTTAAGACAGACTATATATATATATATATATATATATAGATATATATATAAATATATATATAAAAGAAAAAAAAAAGAGAAGGATCACATTTAGGCAGATTTAAGAATAACAAATTTGATTATTTTAGAGATAAATTTTTTGTAATTTAACCATATTTCTCTTTCATTTAAAATATTTATATTGGACATATCTATGTCCTAAACAAACAAATACAACTCAACGAATAATGAAATGGTTAAAGTATCATTCCTAGCTTTAATAGATTATAAACTAAACAGATAAATTTTCCCTGTAATTTTAAGACTATTTGATTAAAAACATTGAAAATTAAAATATACTGGATGATACTTCTTAATGAAAACATAGAAGTCTAAAAAATAAAATGCAAGAAATACTCCTAATTTCTCAACAATGACTACATATTCTAATATAAACAAAAAATCTTCACGGAAGTAGCTATTTATATCACACTTTTAATATATTTCTCAATCATGACTACATGTTCTAACAAAAACAAAAGAAAGTCTTCAGTGAAGAAATTATCGAGTCACATTTTTAATACTTTATTGCAAATATAAACCTGATTAAGATCACTTTCAGATCACTGAAACATAGAACTTAAAGGAATTAAACAGACATTTATTGCAAAATTTGTTTTGAAACTTTTAGAACACTATGAAAACGTGAAATGTTACAATTCTTTTCTTCTCTCTCAATACTTCTCATTTGCATCATTAATAAGTACTTATTTAAAAACAATGAGTATATTAATATGCCAAAACAAAATTTTCTGTTTGATAAGAAGAAAAACATTGAGAGAGTGAACAGTATATCTAAATTGTTTTATCATTTCTTTTAAAAAATAAACAAAATACAACAAAAATTTTGAGTGTTACAGAAGTAAAAAATTGCTGAAAATATTACTTGGAATTTACATGTTATACAACAAAGCTGTAAAATAATACATGTATTAGAATTTATTAAAATAATGGTTTACATACTGAGGATTATCAAACAAAAAAGAAATTTTAATTAAAACACAACTCTATCATTCTTTAAGATATAATTATAAGCAATTATAGTGTAATCAAGTAACAAAATTAAAAAAAAATTCAAACCCAATTTTTTTGATATACACTATCTATAAGAAATTCTTAATATGTAATGAGTTTTTTCCTGCCAATATGGCAGATTGATTGAATATGTTTTTTAATGATCATTGTAACCCTAAAAAGCATGTATAAATTTAATAACACAATAAATTTCTAACATACAATTTATTTAAACACTTTGTTGCGGGAGGAGCAGTTTATTGTTTGGAATAAAAAATAATCTCCGCCAATCTAAACAAAACATGAAAACGTTAATATGGTGTAGGAAAAAAAAAAAAGGGATTAGTTCTTCAAAATGTATATGAAGTACATTTTAATCACAGATTTGAAATATTTTACAACATAATTCACCTTAACCTACATACAAAAGCATGCTACCACATGAAGTCCTAGACTCTGAATAATAGGGAGGAGCAGTTTATTGTTTGGAATAAAAAATAATCTCCGCCAATCTAAACAAAACATGAAAACGTTAATATGGTGTAGGAAAAAAAAAAAAAGGGATTAGTTCTTCAAAATGTATATGAAGTACATTTTAATCACAGATTTGAAATATTTTACAACATAATTCACCTTAACCTACATACAAAAGCATGCTACCACATGAAGTCCTAGACTCTGAATAATAAAGACATAAATCCAGGCTCACATAAGGCTTACAAGTTATAGGATGGTGGATTAAGATCAAAGAGAACACAACACATTGAATTGATTGTTTAAAAATACAGTTCAAAACCTCAAAAATTATTCTGAAACAATAAAGAATTTTTTATGGTAGAAATCAGTTAACTTCACAACTTTGCCAACATGCTTATGAGTCCTTGGTCTAAGGAAAAATATTTATTTCTTTTATAAATGTCTCATTTTGTTCCTACCAGTAAGATATCTGGTGGATTACAATAGTTTTTTCTTTCTTTTATACCTGAAGAGCAGGTTAACTTTCACTCCTTTGTATACACAGAATATTCACTTTTGAAACGATCCAAGACAATGCCACACTCAGATTTTTACAATATAAAATTTTTTTAGAAAATTATGATTATCACCTAATTCACTTATTCTTTAAAAGTTTTTACATTCTAAATCTTAGACACAAAATTACTGAATATTTTGTATCCTATTCTTTGTGCATTCCTGAGATCCCTGCATCAATACTAAGTAAATCACTTCTATGTATATGGTTTCTCAGCTATTCTTATGCAATAACGTTTTTCCTGCATGTCTAACGAATTTATTTACTAGTAGCACACAATTAGATGGAGATGTTCCTTGAATTCAATATCACAGAAATTTTTCTTCTATTCACTCTTCACCATTGTTCGTTACATTCAGGTTTTTCGCAAAACTTCGTAAATGTTTGATGTAATCAAGCATTACAGATGCCATAGTCTGGTCAATCAAATACTGAGGAAGCCAACCCTAGAATACAAAATAATGGTGTTTGAAATAAGGCTTGCATACTGGGTTGTCCAGCAAACAACCTACAGGCCAATTATGGTTGTCCACACTTGAATGAACATGTTAGTGTTATGTTGTCCCAAGTCAAATATCACACTAGAAAACTCATTAGTAGAAAGAAAATTGTGATTTTATCAAAGACTTTTATGAGGAAACATAAATCATGATGCACAATATGCCCTTAGTTACTAATTTTACAAAATGTGGACTATCTCAACAACAGTTAATATGAAATGGCAACAGCTAGAAAACATTATCTATGTCTAATGTACCAAAATATGCAAAATGTAAATGGCAAAAACAAACCTGGCATTATCAAAATCTTTTGAGTGGTGATCCATTATTAGTTATAAATTGTGACAGGTTTGCAAGTGATTATAAGGAACTCTCTTATTGGTAAGCAGTTTGTATAGTCTTGATGATAACATCCCTCCAGAAATCAGAACATGGGTCAATCACTTACATGGATATAAAAATATTCTACAATCACATACTTAGGAAACCAACCAAGGAAATAAAAATGCTTTACAGATACCACAGTCTGGTCAATCACATACTAAGGAAGCCAACCATGGAAAAAAATACTTTACAGATACCACAGTCTGGTCAATCATGTACTAAGGAAGCCAACCATGGAAAAAAAATACTTTACAGATACCACAGTCTGGTCAATCATGTACTAAGGAAGCCAACCATGGAAAAAAATACTTTACAGATACCACAGTCTGGTCAATCACGTACTAAGGAAGCCAACCATGGAAATAAAAAATGCTTTACAGATACCACAGTCTGGTTAATTACATACTCAGGAAGCCAACCATGGAAATAAAAGTACTTTACAGATACCATAGTCTGGTCAATAACATCTTAGGAATCCAACCATGGAAGAAGAAGAAATACATTGCAGATGTTATAGTCTTATCAATTACATACTGAAGAAGCCAACCAGGGAAATAAAAATGCTTTACAGATACCAGAGTCTGGTTAATCACATACCACAGAAGCCAGTCTTGAAATAAAAAATGCCAAACTGAAAGATAAAAAAAATTATTTAAAAGTTGAAAGAAACCAGTTCTTCTCATCAAGACAGTAGTTTACCACTGTCCAAGTTAAAAAAAAAAGTAATCTAACTGATTCTAAATGTTTAGGATAAAATATTTCATTTTAGAGATTGCTTAATACGATAACTTAAAACAGTATTCCAAAGTTGTACTATAAATCTGAACATTTTTTATAACACAGGCCTGCGATGGTTTTCTTATCTTGAAATTTTTACATATTGTACAGTAATTCCTGTATGCTGAATCTGAAAACAAAATACATTTTTCTTTATCACATTTTTCACAAAATGTCATTATGCAATACATAAAAGAAAGACCAAAACATGTAGGCTTGAGACTAAAAACCGAAGATTTCACAAAAGAAAATCAGAATGAATGAGGATGCATATTCGTTTGACATCAATGTTCTTCACATTTCTTTGTTTAACATTTCTTTGTTCTTTCTTTAACAAACATATTAATAATAAAATAATAATAATTTGATCCAAGAAAGAGATTTTTCTTTCTTCCTAATCTGAAAAAAAATCTTTACATGACAGAAAAAAAATATATATTATTTTTGAAATCAGCGTAGCTGAATTATGGAAAATCCATTATTAAAACCAAAATAACTTTTATGAAGTTTAAATTTGCAGACCTGTGTAATTGTTTGTAATCACATATTTCATGTTTGGTTAACCAGCTGAAAATGTTGTTTACAGAGAGAATTAAGAAAAGATGTAGGTTTGAATGATGGCTGAAAGATGATTTGAAAAACAAAGGTAGTTTTAGTAAACTAATAAAAATAAATGCACACCTGGAGTTTGTGAGTTACTGCCCTAGCTTAAGATTAATGATTAGGATACTTTTCCAATTCAAGTTAAATATAAGAATATAAATCTAAGGTATTGTATAAACAAATAACACAGCCAGAGTCTATTAGTAGTTGCAACTGTAATAATTTTGAGATTAATTACCTATTTATTTCTGAATGTAACAAATTTTAATAAGTTCTTCAAATCAATGCTTTAAACTTAAATTTAGTGAGGTATTACACTTTAATTACTTGTAAGTCACCATTAACATGTCAATTTCTTAAAGAGTACAAGCTATAACAGTAAATCACCATAGAGTTAGTTTTTTCTAGAAAAAGAATGTAAATACTGTTCTATTTAAAATAACGCAAGTACTAAACATTTCAGTATAGCCTAAAAAACTATGAAAGAAAATGTACTTCCAAATTAATCAAACATTAAATGAGATGAACAAGATAATATAAGATATATACCTTTAGATTAGTATTTGATAGCCACTGTAGGTGACATCTGTTATTGCTTCCATCGACTGGAGTGAATACATAAACACTTGGCCCCTGTTCCCCTCTGTTCAATAAAAAAGATGAAAAGGATGTTTAACATTTTTAATACACTTTTGAGAAACTTATATTGAGTTTGAAAACTGCATAACAAGTACTGACGGTAAAAGTACTTTTTAAAATAACTGGATATTTCAGTATATCTTTTACATCCAAATTAACAATCATTCAAAAAAATGCTAATTGTAACCTCATAAAATTAATAACGTATTTCCAAATTAATAAGTTAAGTATGCAAATAATGATTTATGAGCATAATAAACTGACTTATTGATGGTGGAACATACTACATGCTTTGACAGAACATTGGTCTGTTTTCTTCAGGTATGATCTGTAACTAGGCAATACAGGGTTTATACGCAAGTACAAAAAAGGGCAAAAGACACAAGGGTTTTATGTAAAGAAAATGATAGCACCAAGTGACAGGGTTATAGAGAAAAGTCAAGGCTGGTCAAGTGTACGAGCAGTAAATAAACGTAGCCAAATATGGTCGATTTGCTAATGCCATTGTCACAGTTTAGTGAGAGATTGTTTGCTTTGATTATTTCTATAGTTTCTAAATAATCACTTTCTTTTTTAGTTTTGGGTTGGTGTAGTAGATAAATTTTGTCCCTAAGTACCTTGATGATAACTGAAACTCACCTCTACACGTGACCTTAGTGTTTTTTCCATCTTATTTTCTGATGAAAACATAGGCTGTAACAATGTAGTGAGTCTCCAAATTATTTTAACATTATATATTCAACCCTCTATAACAATATTTGTGGAAAATACCATGACCACTGAACTATTTTTTTTTTAGGACATGAACAGCAGATTTATACTTTTCATACATTTTCTCAAAATCAAATTATAGGACAGAAAAAACAAAATTGTGATGTATCAAAACCTATTTCTATTTTCTCTTTTTATTTGTGCATTCAAACTTGTGTAAAAGTGACAGCAATTTATTACAATAGCAAAAATTACTTGCTTTTCTGCAAATTGAACTTTAACAATAAAAAAGTGTATTTTAATTTCCTTATGAAAGTCAATTTAATTACGTTTTATATTTGACAGTAAAAATTTTCTGAATACATCAGCAGCTATAAGAACTCGAGGAAAAGGTTTACCATGTTGGTGATTTGCAATCAGTGACTACAGTTTATTAACTTTAACTGCACAATATCATCTTGCTTTGTCAAATGAATTCATTCTGTTGAAAGTTGTGAAAACTTTAAGTAACAAACAAATTTTCGAGAGAGAAAACATTGTGCTACATAGTTGAGAAACACACGGAAGTGGAGTTAAAATAACTTATTCTTTATATTTACAATTTAATTACATATTTTACACAAATGACCTAATATACAAACACTTTTATATAAAAGAAATAAAACTTTCAAAAATATACCAAAATGAGTTTCAGATCAAGAATGCTTAAAATAATAACTTTTTTAAATAAAATATCTCAGAACGAAATGAATAAAATATTTAAACCTTTCCTGTTTTATATCTTCATTACCTAACATACTTGGCTTGTGGAGGCATAGCAGGATGTGTTATAGAGACCATACCATTGATAATAGAACCACCTCGATACTGCAACATTCTAACTGCAACAAAATCCCTGTTAAACAAAAGTCAATCGTTTTTACGGAAGGTTGATTTCAGGTTACATTCTACAGCTAAGATTTTTCATATAGAACGTACAATACAATGAAGAAAAAATTAAGATTCATAGTGACAATCCAGTACCATTCATAACCACATTCAACTATCCCACATACTTTAGAACAGAGGCATCGCTAGGCAATGGCACATGGGGCCCATGCCCTAATTCTATTTGGTGTCTTGAAAAGTTTGAATAGAAAACCATAACTGATATTATACTGAAACATTGAAAATTCCCACGCCTATGGGCCTAAGCTCCAAACCTTTGAAGCACCTAGCAACACCTCTGGTTTAGAGAATAGGTCCAGTAACATGAAGTAGTTTTAAAAGTTTGGATCATATATTTAATTCAAAATTGTTTGTCAACTGAAATACTTTTTTCAGTTTCTTAATTTATATTTGTATTAAATTAATTTTCATATAATTGTTTACACAGACATTGGGCTTCTCTACTCAAATGTTATTTGAACTTGGAGTGCTAATTTGAAGATAAAAAACATGAAATCTATGTATGTAACATTAAACTGTTTTATTTTAATACATTCACAAAAACTAGCAAAATACCTGCTAGTGATGATGCCTCCAACTCCATCTGCAACAATGTAGATAATATCTGTCTGATTGTCAATTTTCTGAAGAACCTAAATAAAGTTATTGACAAGTAATATTGAGAGGTTTATTCTCGTCACTCGGATATTCTGATTTTCTATTAGTATTATGCATACAAGCTGGCTTATTAACACATTTTTAAGTGTAAAAGAGTGTAACAAACATGAATCAACTTAAGTTATTTTAAAGCTATTATATTATACACATAAAAACATTAATAAATCATGAAATGAAAGTAAACACTTCCAACAGACATCCATTATTCTCTGAAATCATCTCAAGAAAACTACTTGTAGCTGAATACATCTGATTTTGTCATAATTTCTAGAATGATTTTAATTGATCTTAAAATCAACATTAGTTGTACATTATATTTTATGTTTAATATGTTGTTAATGTACAAAGTTGAAAAGTTTCAGCTTTTTTTTCTCTTTTTGATAAAGTAATTTTGATTCAACTTAAACTTTTTATCAACTACGAAGTTACAGTATATAAGAGGCAGTTGTCATTAAAAAATCTAATATACATAAGGCAAGATGACTGAAAAACCTTGATTGTTTTAGTTGTAGGGTTCCAATTTGGCACGTTCTCAATATTATAGAAAAGTTCTTCAACCACTTTCTGAGGTGTTATCTTTATTTTGCCCTTGAAAAGAAAGATAAGTTTCCAATTTAAACTTGAATATCACAAGCTCCAAAGACTCACATAATATTTCATCAGAATGTTTTAAGCATCAGATAGATGAATATACGTAAATGTTATTTACTTTATAAAAGATATACATTTTTTACTTTAAGAACTTTTGTCTTAAAACTAGATAGGAAAAGTAACAATTAAAAATGCAATTCAGTTAGTGCACTGACTAAAAATCATGAATTTGTAAGCTAAATACAAATAACTATAAAAATAATAATGACAATATGAATTATTGGACAAAATATTTAACTGGAAAGAGAGAATATTAAAAACTTATAAACATATATAATGAACAATCTCCCCTTTCTTTAGTGGAAACTACTATAAACTTTAAGCTTTTATGCTGATTTTTATAGAGACGGAACTAAAAAATACTAGTAGAGACCCACAAAACATCTGAGGTCAAATTAGTATTTTTATTGCAACAGTGCTTCTATAAATATAGGATTTCTAGAATATAATAAGAAATAATTCTAAATGTAGACATTGAAATCTATGTCCACTTGTCTTAGGCCTAACATTAGTTAAGCCTTTATTAATTACAGCCTATATTCGATAAAAAGATAAACAAACACTGCAATTTGTGTAAATGTTTTGCTTGAGTTTAGTTAGAGGCTTTAGCATACTCTATACTATCAATAAATAAACTTATAATGTTATTCTACGACTTAGTGTTAGACCTTTTTAAAAACTTTGATAAGCTTTTGATATTTTCGTGTACAAAATATCTATTAAACATATTTACTTCCACCTTTGGCTTATTTCCATTAAAGTGAAGTGCATGTGCATTTGCAGGATAGACAAAACTGAATATTATTATTATTATAGATTGTGTAAAAATGCATTTGGACTTTTTTTTTGGTTCTTAGCGTAACATTTGACATGAATAGTATTATATGATTCCAGTTGGCACACAGTGGCAGATTAATATGTTGAAATAAATCTTTTCTCACTGAATAAGCTTGAAACATTCTTTGAACAGTATATGATCTGATCACAAAAAGAAAAAAAAATCCACAGAACATAACTGAAAAATTAAGAATTCAGTCTTTTTGTTTTTTCAAGTATGTTCATGAAGAACATTTAAACATTTTCATTGAGAACAGGAAATTATTTAATTTTTATAAGGAAGGGGTCAAATAAAAAAAATTGCATTTACATTTCAACAAAGTAAACAACACAATAAATATAAACAAATATTTATGCTCAGATAATTAAAAAAGAGGTAATTTGATCACTTGACCTACTTTATCAATGTCTAGGTATTTGCAAATATGTAATAT